AGTAATATCAGTAAAAGAGGAAAAAGCACAAAACATGAAAAAGAGAAGGCTTAAATGGAACAGCTTCAGTCAGCAGGTGCTGCTATTGGCCGGTATGTTGGTAATGGATTGGGTGAGACGGAGACAGAGTGTTTGCACAGTGAAGTCAGTGAAGAAAAGGGTGATGATAATACTGAAGATGCTGAAGTACAATGTGACATAGATTATATGAATGAGAATAGAAGTAATGATGCTCATCCTCTTTTGATTTTCTATGATTGTGAAACAACTGGGTTCAGTGTCTATAATGAACACATTACTGAGATTGCTGCTAAGGTAGTGGGTGTCCTGTTGTCTTTATTCAGTCAGCCAATCTTTTCAAGTATCATAAAGACAAGCAGAAATATATCAAAGAAAGGTACAAAGTAGTACTGCCTGATCCCAAATAATTATTGGCTATACACAATTCCCATAGTGTCTGATGTAACGGGCGTGGTTGCACATTCCATATTTCAAAAACACATTCCAGTGAAAAACTCAGTCTGAAAGTATCAGACTGAGACCAAATTTGGAATACAGCCTCCTTATATGGAAACACAGACCGTAACATAGAGATTTTCTAATTAAACGGATCAGATGGAGCTATAAGTGATATTATCAATAAGAAAAATTAAAATTAAAAGTGTTGCAAGTAGAAAAAGGGAAATATCTCTATGTTAATCTATTTCCTTAGTTTAGAAGGACCTTCACCAAAAGTTTTGCTTTTCAAAACTGAAAGTAAGGAGAGTTTCATCGCTTATAACATTCTTTCTTTATATTATCTTGTGATACTATTGCTTTGTAGCTTATACCTAAAAGTTAGGTTACAAACTAAATTAGTTACTGTCTTTCCACTGGTACTAGTTTCACTAGATCAGGTATTGTAGTTTTACTAAAATATGTCCCTAGCAACAGATTTTAAAAAGTGCGTGGGCGGTGGCGCAGCACCCTTAAGGAGCTTATACGTACATGTAGTTTCCAACAACACTTTATATAGGCAATAATACACGTCATTCTTTCTTTGCCAAAATCAATTTGTATCAAAATATGTGGAATACTAGCTAACACTTTGCAATACTACCAATACACAAGCACACACATGTACAATGTATAGGACTACCTTTACCGGATTCACAGTCCATTACTTAATGGACAAAACAGTGCCTATCCACAAATTGATAATCATGAAACACAAATTATGTAATAATTACTCAAAAATTTACTACATGTGCATCACACATCTGTCTGACTGTCTCCAATGTAAAATGCAGTACACTTAGTAGCTAGTTTGTTTGGTTATTGGCGTGACATGAGAACAAACTATGTAACAGCAGATGTTTACTCATGTACATGTACATGTACATGTATATGTACATGTACATGTATATATCATACCACATTCCAATTGACCAATCATAACACTCAACAAGTGGTTACAGATGTTTCATACAGCATACATGTACATGCACATGTAGTATTTACATGTAACTGTATTATCAATACTTACCCATTTTACTAAAGAAAGCATACAGGACTCCCATGAGGTCCCCGAGGGTTAAATTATAATCAGCGACCACACCCTCTATCTGATGGAACTCGGCCAGGTGAGTTGCGTCAAGTGTCTCATTATGAAAAACACGATCAATTGAAAAATATTTGACAGGAGTGAACTCTTTCTACTAAATTGAACGGATAAAGAATAAAAATTTATACAGCTCAAGAAAAAATAAGTAAAATTAGTCACATGTCAAGAAAAACATTTGTCACTTTATTCCGACACAGTAGGTGATAAAAGTCACACCTGCTGTTATAATATAAAGTGGTTGATATTGCTACTCATCGTTAGCTGATAAATCATGAAAATTAATATAATCAGCTTTTACTAGTAGCTCATGAATCATTAATTATTCATGAGAATGAACCACACCCACTTGTTGTCCAAGTTTGTAGAGCATTCTTGTGCTAACAGCAGTAGTGTGAGTCCGGAGAATGATCTTCTGAGCTTCCAGTCATACTGATAACTAAACATGCCAAATTAATCTAAAATAAACATATACACATGTACATGTACATGTACATGCATAGCAGTTTATTTAGGAGAGGAAAAATTTTGGAAATTGCCTATACATGTATTTCATTGGCAAGAAAGGCCAAATATCACTGAAGGTGCATATTAAAGAATGAATGACACTAAATACAGACACAAGCAGTTCCTACCCTATTGATCCATGTCCTCCTGTCTGGTACATGGTCTTCACTCTCTCTAAATATTCGGTAGGGAAATCATACGAAAACTGGGTATCTAGAAATGATTTTGTAATTAAAGGAAGATTTTTGTAAAATTATTTCTGCTTTACCTTTTAAAAAGAATGTGTCATGAGCATCACGGGCAGGGTGCTGCTGAGGCTGGAAAAGAGCATCAAAATTCCAAAAGGAGCTCTCAATGAAATTATTTGTAGGCATTTCACAAAACCTAAAAAATAAAATATATACCATTCCATCATCTATACAATACTAACAGATCACAAATAATGATGTACATGTACATTGTAGCCGACTCACAATCACCCCCAATTCTTATTACATTTTCTCATGTACATTGATGTCCTTACGCTATGCGTAAGTAGAAAGTTTGAGTTGATTCTGACTTCAATTTCTCTGATTTATAGCCAATTTTTAATAATAGGACATTTTCTTTTTAAAATGCCATGTATTATAGCCCATTGTTTTATTTAAAATTGGCTCTGAAGAATTTTTATCACATTTTTTGATAATTGATTTACTTATGCTATGCAGAAATTTTGAGTTGTTTCTGACAAATAACTCTCGAGTTACGAGCATTTTAAAGACAAGTGATTTTTTGGCCTCGCCCAGCTTTGCGTAGGCGAGGACTAGGTACTCGGTTTGTCTGTCTGTCATTCATTCATTCTGTGTGCTATATTTTGTCTTTGAGAATGTATATCTTTACAATCGCGCACTCTAAACCCGTGACAGCTTCTCTTCTGTTAGGAAAAGTCTTGCTTTACTGCTTCGAGATGTTTAGAGAGCAGCTCTAGGTAGTACAAGCTTTTTAACTCACAAGAAAATGCCCAGCAATAGCGGTAGTACTCTGGAGGTCAATGAGACTCTTTCCCAGTAGATCAAGACTATTTATTCATTTAATATGTGTGGGACTCTTTAAATCTTTCTTGTTGGTGAAATATAGCTACTCGAATTTCATCCCGAGTGAAGTGCTGTAGCAGCAGTTCGCTAGTCTATGGCTAGTCTAAGGATCCTAAACTCTCTTAAGTCATTCAATCTATCTAGGCAACAGTATTTGTGCCATTATAACATCATATAGCGCTTAGAAGAAGAGAAAAAACCTGAAGCTTCCCTCTCACATGGTCTTGCTGCATTATTATATTGATAATTAATGCCACGCCTCCAAGCAGGTTAGCATGACCAAGCTGGGAGTTGGCCCTGGAGCTTGCCACTTTTACAAGCATGCAAGAGCAAGTGTAACTACAGCTAGGAAGCTAGCTGTTATGATAATTCTTGGCCTCAAGAGCACACTTTCTAATTTTTTGCATAGCATGTTTTTTATGGGTAGTGGCCACAACAAAAGCTGTGGTTTTGAAACCCATGATGTTGTTTTTAAAATGAGAGTGCAATAAGTATATATATAGTGTATAAATAAGTGATAAATCAGTCTTGAGATGCTAATAGGAATTTATGAACATGTTTTACCAATTTTTGAAGGGACTCTAGAGTCCCATGATACTTTTCACATTTGCCCAGTCTGTCACTTTTGATTTATATCATTTAAATATACTGGCTTAGGCTAGCTAAGCATAACACCTCCCAAACAGCTTTAGGGGCGAGGCCACGCACCTTTGGTGTCTCGTTCTACAGTAAGCTGTACATGTGCAATACACATTATACACTCACTATGCTAATTACTACATGTAATAATATTTAATGAAAGGCTCACCCCATCTCAAGGAATATTTGTCGTATTTCGGTCCTAACTTTAAGCAATGGATGGAGGTGACCAGTGGCAAGAGGAGCTCCTAGTGCATTGAAATTTTAAGACTTGAGTTCTTCATTCTTCCATGTACCACTAGAACAAAAGAATTTTAATAAATTATTTAAATAAGTACATTTAGTGAATTAAAATACATTGAATCTATACATGTACATTTTGTCATTACGAAGGTATTTATGCATGTACACATATACATGTCCTTATGCTGTGTATCAACTTAAAGCAGATTCAGGTCAAATTTGGATTTTTTGCATGGATTGGATAAATGTCACTTTACAGCATTCAATGTACATATTAGGAAATGATGTACATGATTGGTAATAGCAAAGTGTGTGGTGTCTGGTATTGCTGTTCTAACTAAAGAGCCGAACAATATAGTCATGTGACTTGGTATGGCACCAATCGGATAACAGCAAAAACATTAGAACACATATATATGTGGACCTCAAATACATGTGAATACCGTATGGTTGGTAAATTTAGTGGCGTGCTAATTTTCGTTAATTTCGTGGTGCATTTTTATTCACAAAATTTTACCCACACATGAAAAAATAACTAATGGGTCATGTAGAGCTCTAACTACTATTTTCAAGCCACAGGATCTTTGTCTGTTACTCCATATTCCACTATAAGCCATGTATTGGAACCAGTAAAAGTAAAATTGCCTTCCATTGCTAACAGCAAATTCAAATGTGTAAGTAAACATTAAAGGGGCGAGCCTAAGGAAGCTATAGATTATGTGCTGTATGATCTACATGTCTGAGCTAGCAAAGCAATTGCACATGTCTGAATTCAGCAGATATTGTTGCAGCTATCTTGATTACCATAATTTCTTGTATCACTTCTTTACTTAAGAATTTCTGTAGCAATTAAAGTTATCTTGCTTATAGTTAGAAGCAGTCACTGAACAAATCACATTTGAAGATTGTATATCTGCTTTGTTAACCTAGGCTTGCTGCTAGAGAACAAACATACATCTCCTCAAGCATAAAAAACTACTAAACAAGTTATTTTTGGAATAGCCTAATCAATATCAAAATCCCTTAAGAAATCCTATCCAGTACATGTCATCAGACATAGCCTGGAAAAGGCACCAAAGGCATGATGTCACAATTATGTAATAAAGTGTGTAAATGAGAAAAGGTACTTTTTGGCAAATAATTAAATTTATCTTTATAGTGACAAAATGTCAACCTGTGTACGTGTATTTCATAAAAAAAAACCAGCAATGCAAAAATATTATTTTTAATTTTTGCAGTGTACTTTTGTGACAAAACAAAAACACATTGACATTTTGTCACTATAGCTGACCCTAGGTGAGAATTGATTGCAAGATCATTAAAATTTATGACAGTTTTAAGGCACAGTTTAGGGTGAAATAAATTCTGGCCATCATTTTGGTTGGCAGCTTTCAATGGAGACCAAATGGGTCGAATTAAAAACAAACCTGTATCAAGAATTCTGAAGCAAATTTGACCATATTTTTTACAGGAGAAGCTTAAAAGCTTTAAAGCGCTTTTTAGCTTTTGATAGAACTATAGCAGGTAATTGAGACAGTTTCTTTGTGCCTCCATTGACTTCCATGAAAAACTTGCCAACTAATTATGACACATGGGCAGATACCATATATAACATTAATGAAATTCATAGCTTTTCTAGTTAACGAATCCACGAAAAAGTAAGTTTTCTCATTCACAATCACATAAGTAAGGAAACAGAAAATTTATGTAGCAACATGACAAACAAAAATCAATAAATTAATGACTAAGAGAACCTAAAGTATACAAAAACTAATGTTCAAGACCAATTGCTACAACCATACATTAATGAATTAATTAACAGCATGCACAATAAAAGAGACAAAGACAGCGTGATGCAAGAACACTCTTAATATCAGGCCTGAAGAATGACTGTATAATAGGACTGGCTATTGTGATAAAAAGGAAACATATCATACGAGAAATACTAAGTTTAGGACATACATCAATGAATTCCTCCAAAGCACTTACTACAAAACTAAGTACAACGCATATACCATAGATGAGTAGCATGCTTCCAAATATTCCAAAGAGTCTCTTCTTTTTTGAGGCATACACACTCTCTCCTGCTATCACTGACTGATCCTTAAAGAAGCTTCTAGCAAAACAAAGGTACATAATGATGTCACAATGATAATTGCAGTTGTAACACAAGGAAAGAAAACATAAAAGATAATGAGACTGATAATGCTGTTAGGACACTGGTGGCATAAAAGGCATAAACATCATATTAATCAAATCCAAAGAATGGACCAAAGCTAAGTACAGCAGAAAATAGCCAGATAACAATGGTGAGAGTCAGACCAGAAAAAGTAAAGCTGCCTCCCATTTCAGAGACAAGCACTCAAAATTGTCCCTAATTCTCTTTGCAAAAGTATATAAAGCAAGTAAGGACTGTATACAAGACTTATAGCAACAGCTACATGTATATCCTTTATAAAGGTACTAATAGCACTAGACCAATCTCAAATTAACGATGAAAATGATACAAAGGAATAAGTTACACACAGAAATTAATAACAAAAATAACAACAAAATTACATAATACTCAATATACTACAGGAAATTGTAAATAATTAACATAAGCAAACAGCACGTACACATTAACAGCAAACACAAGTAAAGAGAAGAGGACAGCATGAGACTAGAAAACTCTTGATCTCAGGCCTGAAGTATGACTGGATAATAGGACTGGCTATTGTAACAAAGCAAAATACAATGTAGCCTGTCACATAAATCTCGTATGGTAGAAAAATGAAGATCTGCAGAAAGAAGGGTAAAGTTTCCATTAAATAATATGTCCCATAGATGAGTAGCATGCTTCCAAATACTCCAAAGAGTCTCTTCTTCTTTGAGGCATACACACTCTCTCCTGCTATCACTGACTGAGCTTTGAAGTAGCTTCTAGTGAAACATAACGTCCAAAAGGAAGTGACAAATATTGTTCCAACAACGAGACAGACTACAAGAATTACAACAAAGGCTCTAATGTCACCACCAATTATAGTACAAAAACCTAATTCATCAACATAGCTGTAGTGTCCAATATTAATGAACGGCCCAGTACCAAATACAGCAGACAGTATCCATATAGCAATGGTGAGGGTCAGCGCTACCCAGGGTCTCATGAACCACTTGTGAAGATGTGGTTTGACAATAAAAAGAAACCGATCAAATGATATAGCAGCTAATGTCATTGATAATACAGAATATCCAGACCAGAGCATCCAGGCAGCAAAGGCACATGTCCCTTTCTTCTCCTCATCTGTACTACCAAAGATCCACTCACCAGCAGCTAATGCAATGATAGTGAAAGGAAGGTACAGTAGATTCAATACAAGATGTGCCAGTATGAGAGAAGTGAAGAATATTGTTGATGATTGTTTCCAGGACTTCCTTTGATAGAGTGTGATAGATAGTACCACACCATTAGCTATCAGAGCTAGTATCATCTCAACAGTAAGAACTGCTGCTACTGCTGGACCACTGAACTCACCAGTAAAAGTAAAGTTGCCTTCCATTTCAGAGACAAGCACCCAAAATTGTCACAAATTCTCTTTGGAAAAGTATACAAAGCGAGTAAAAGCGTATGCTATATTTTATAACTTTTACAGCTATATCCTTTATATTAAAATAACAATGAAAATGATATAAGGGGATAAGTTACACACAACACAGCAAAAATTACATAATACTCAATATACTACAACAAATTAAACATGTGCCGTAAATAATTAATGTCAGCAAACACAAGTAAAGAGAAGAGGACAGCGTGAGACTAGAACACTCTTGATCTCAGGCCTGAAGTATGACTGGATAATAGGACTGGCTATTGTAACAAAGCAAAATACAATGTAGTAAGTATGTAATAGAACACTCATACAGTAGTAAAATTAAGATTTGCAGAAGGAAGCCAATAAAGCTATAAATAAATAAGATGTTCCATATAATGTGTAACATGCTTCCAAATACTCCAGAGTCTATTCTTTTTTGAGGCATACACACTCTCTCCTGCTATCACTGACTGAGCTTTGAAGTAGCTTCTAGTGAAACAAAAGGTCCAAAGAGAAGTGACAAACATTATTATGAGGACAATGACAGTTCAAACAATAGCAAAAACACTGCTACGATTGATGTTTATTGGTAACAAATAACACAAGTCTGGATCAATGTCAGAGTGGAATGTAAGGAGATATATGTTAGAAATAGCAGCTAACAGCCATAATGGTGAGGGTCAGTGCTATCAAGGGTCTAATGAACCACTTGTAAAGATGTGGTTTGACAATAAAAAGAAACCGACTGAACGATATAGCAGCTAATGTCATAAAAATGACAGGTATGGTACATAAAAATACAAAAGCAGCAAGGTAACATGTCCCTCTCTTCTCCTCATCTGTACTACCAAAGATCCACTTACCAGCAGCTAATGCAATGATAGTGAAAGGAAGGTACAGTAGATTCAATACAAGATGTGCCAGTATGAGAGAAGTGAAGAATATTGTTGACAGTTGTTTCCAGGACTTCCTTTGATAGTGTGATAGATAGTGCCACACCATTAGGCCACTCCAGTAGTTTCCCGTTTCCCACCCGCATACGCCGCTTCAATTTTTTGTTATTCATTTATTTTTTGTTATATTCAATATTAAATATGGAAATTGTTTTCTGGTGAAACTATTGCCGAAAACTACAACCAAGTCTATAAATGATCCAGGTTGGGT